ATCTGTAAGAAATAAATTATTTAAGAGCCAAAACTTTTTAAATGCGAAAAAGTTTTGTAAGTTCAGGGAAAACACCAGACGTTAAAAAAAGCAAGCTTACAGGTATATGGTTGATGTATAAGCTTGTACATGGTGAACTGTGATTAAAGATGTAATTACTATGTAATAACGTATAATAACTTAATTACTATTACGTATTTGACAACATATATTAACTTTTTTACAGTCCACCATGTACCTATATAAACTTGCATATCAGTCACATACGTACCTGCAAACTTGAAGATAATTCTTGACTTTTTGTCCTAAACCTTAGTAAGATTTTTTGAATAATCTCTGAAATTCTCCCCTCTCAATGTTTAAAAAATCGTATTTTGTTTCATTTTTGTTCGCTACTTAAAGAATTAGTTTTCACTGTCTTCCTTTCACTTTTACTTATCCATTTCTAGCTGCGCAACAACGAACTCGTGATATGCGTTTATTTTTCTATTTGCTCTCTATATACAACGGTTACAACGGCATTCGCTTAAGCCTGTACAAACTTCAGAAGAGGTAAGTTACTTACAGAAAGTTTGAAAACACATAGCAGTGTAGGGGTAGAAAAGCATTCGCAGCAGGTTAGAGAGCGCTATTGTGGAACAAGTAAAACCTCTAACGAAATTCGGACGAAATTCGGCATTTGATCATCAAGATCTCTCGCTACGGGAATTCCACCAAATATTCGACAACATCACGCCCACTGTAAATTAACTTCAGGTTTACAAGAAAATACCGCTTAAACAATATAACTCCTGGATAAATACTTCTGTTTCAAGGTATCAGCATTCGACGATCATTTCAGAGGAAATTGAATAGAAGGCTTCAGTGACTGCGAATTAGCAGCTATGCATCTAGCATATCGAGCGGCTGACTGTAATGGCTGTGATGTACAGTTGCGCATGTACAGTGAACGATACCCAGTATTCCGAATCACCAGGTATTTATACGGTTACATCAATGATTGAGCAATACGGGATCTCTCGGAACAAGTCAAAGGAATCGGCAACGAACCACACGGACACCTGAAGTGGAGCTCCGTTATGCGGAAAGGGATCCACATATCAGGACACGAACGATTGCTGCAAACCTCGCTGTTTCACAAACTATCGTCTGCAGAATCCTGAATTTGAAGCACTCGTACCCATACCATGAGCAGCGCGTGCAGCAACTGCTCCCTCCTGATTACACGCAGCGCGTTGCATTTGCTGAATGGTACAAGTAGACGTGTGCGATGGAACCCCATTTTCCGGCTGCTATCCTCTTGGCTGATGAGGTATACTTTAGCAGAGATGTCTTCTACAAAGCATATGACTCACATGTGTCGGCAGTAAACAGTTTCAGGAGTAACCCACCAAGCAGCACAACATCGGTTTTCTACCGTTGCTAGCGACCACCTAATAATAAGCCCATATTTCATGCCTGTTCGTCCGGACGGTTGGTCTTATAAGATTTTCTTAGAGGATCAACGTTTCTTACCTGGGGGGGGGAAAGGAATTTCACAGTTTCAGGACAGGATGCAGTCCCTCTTTTATTTACCCGTGAAGTATTTAATTTTTGTTTGTGAACATAAATAATTATTTTTATTCAAGTTTTGGTATTTATCAAGATTTTCTATATATTTTTGGTTAATTTATGACACACATTAAAAAAATAATCTAAATTTAAATAAACGTATACACATTTTTCGAGTTTGGGAAAGGACGGGGAGGAATGATCGTCTAGGAATAGTGAAAGGCGTGCATACTGCGAAAAAGACTAAGACGTTCTATGTTAGATGAACAAAGCAACCAGCATCCGCAGTACAACGATATATTGTTCCAGCATGATGACGCCTAGAACATTTAAGCTTTTCATTCGACAACACTTAAATTCAACATTTGTCAAAAGTGGATTGCTCTTGGTGGTTCTATTCATTAGCGTGCAACTTTCTTTGGACGTTTCGTGCCCAAAATTCCTTTTTCTGGGGTTACCTGAAGAGATAGACTTACGAAACACCTGTGGCCAGTGAGGAGGATTTGTTATATGTACTAACGTAGCTAGGTAGGTAAGGTAGGTAGGCAAAAGAGACTGGGGCACTAGAAACATTCCCATGGATCATACATTTCTCATAAGAAATTTCTAAAGAAAGAAGAAAGCTGGATAGAAGAAGAAAGAAAGAAACTGGTGATATAAGAGAAGAACTGGTGATATAAGAATAAGAAAGAAGAAAGAACTTAAAAAGTGAAAGTAAAAGAAAGTAAACTGGTGATATGAGAAAACTAGTGAGAAGAGAAGGCTCGGAAATTGGAGATAACTGGTTTCTGAGTCCTCTTCTCACCAGTTAGAAAGAACTAATCTTTAAGAAAACTGGTGATATAAGAATATAAATCCCCCTTTTTTCCAATGTGATAAAATTATTTATCATAACAAGTGTTACGTTGGCTAATATTTATGTTTTAGCAGCATAATTAACCATAAAATCTGAACATTGCCATTGTTAGTCCAAAGGGGCTTTGTCCCTGAAGGACTATTGTTTTCGTTTTGCGATTTTGCGTTGAATCACTATAAATGTCCGTTTCACTTTGCAAACTGTTGCCACCAAATGTTAGAGTCCTGCATTATATTTGAAGAAATTAAATAATGAAAAGTCTGCATAAATGTATGTATATTTCTCGCATTGTGATAAAACAACGGTAGATACAGCCATCATTTTGAATGACGTAATCCTTCTGCGAATATGGGCATGTGGGAAGCCCAAATTTGAAATTTTGAATTTGTTTTATTATCGATTTCATATTTTATAAAACTTAAACGAATTTTTATGTAACAATTTCAACGATTTGAAAGCGAGCAATGGCAACAATCTACGGGGGGAGGGAACCGTTTTTATCTGCAGCGCGCGGAACTGTGTATCGGAAATTCTAAAGCTAGGCTCATTTTAAAATTATTTTGCGACATTGCTATTAAACTGAAATTTATGGTTTAAGTACGAAGAACATGATATTTAATAATTAAAGCTAACACACAAAACGTTAAAAACACGCTCCTTTGGACGTAAGTTAAAATCTAAAACCTTTCAGATTTTTTTTTAATTTATTTTATGCTTCGCATCGTAATGTTTAAATACAGAATGGGAACGAAGTTTTAACTATATTTTTCTTTTTCTTTTTTTACTTACAGTGTAGAACCCCCATTTATTTTTGTTCCAGGAACAGCAAAGTAAGAGATGACACGATGCCAGACCATCAGATACTTTAGCTGCATGATCCAATGTTCCTAATATTTAACATTTTCTTAACCTGCATAGAAAATGAAATTTTCGTGAATTTTATTTTTTATTTGAGCAGGAAAACTTTTTAAATAAACCTAAACCTCGAACTTTCCTTCCGAGGGGAAGAAAAGGATTTTATTTTGGTTACTCCAGAAGTGCAAAATAATTTTAGCTTAAACCATGTTCAATTAAAGTGAATATAAATCATTAAAATTTCACAATGGTGCTATCTATTACCTTCAGGATACTTTATCATTTCGCTGAAAGATTTTTTAGTTAAATAAAATATTTTACTTAGTTACATCTTTAAGTATTATAGCAGCTTCTCTAGAGATAACTGTGTTTCAAATATTGAAATTCGTTGTATTATATGCATAAAAATTTAGTTCTTTAGTTTATAAGGAATTTCTGCATTCCCCCCCCCAAGCTCTCGTAATGTAACTTGTAGCATGTCTAGCTCGCTACTGAAAGATCCGAGGTTTGAATACCGGTAAGGGTTCTTCTGCCACTTCCTGGCTCCGAAGAATCCTAAGTAATTCTACGAGTTATTCGATGCTGCTTTTCTTTAAAATTAAATAAATGGGAATATTTCACTTAATAAGAGGGAAACATCAAATTAGCCATAAATCATGTAAAAATTTGTTATAAAAACCATAGTAAGGTATACGTTTAATTATAAGTTAAGTTTATAAAAGTTAAAATGTTCATATTTTACGTTTCATGTTATCAAAAGAGCTTCTTGATATATCCTATAGTTAAATATTTCTTTAGATTTCTATAATTACATATGACTCTCCTTCCAAGTGAAAGTCAATGCAATCGTGTATATAAGTACATGTTTATAATATATGTTTAATGAATATTTTTGATATCTTAAAATGCAAGATACGAATATTTGAACTAATTTTTATACGCATTTATTCAATGTACGTTTAATGTACGTACGGCTCTTTGTTAAAAATTTTTACTCCAGTTAGAAAGACAAACACATGTATGTTCTTAGGATAAATCAAACACGATAATTGATAGGAGAAAAATTAAAACTATATTTCAGAAATGATAACATAGTTCATAATAACCTGTCGCCATTTCTCCGCTCTCAGCCCGTTCTGTGTGAAGCTTATACACTGCCATCATTAAATAGCCTTCACGCAGATTAGTAGCATCTGAAGGAATACTGTACGTGGATTTGATTTTTGTGATTAAAATTTATTAAGCCGATTTATTCAGGTGTAATAAATAATTTTTATAATCTTCCTTATGATAATATTCAGTGAAATATTATATACATTAAACAATAAAAAAGATGAAAAGGGTTAGAAACTGGAAGACCACAGATAATAACAAAAGACTGCTGATGCCGTAAATTTCCCTGTAAATAATCGCATTGATTAGCAATTCTTTTTTTCCTATACGTAATATATTTTCTGTCATATGTCAGGATAACATCTCATTGTGATTTTGAAAGAGAATAAGGCCTACTGTGTGTTTTGGTAGTTTCATTCATCTACTTCCAATAAACAAAATAAGCATTTAAATATTTTTGTCTTAGCAGTTGCAAATAAATTTCTTGTAATCGGCAAAGAAGAGCATTTATAATTAGTGAGGAATTTAACTAACTTTTGCCATGTCTTTAAGTAAGATGCTATTTGATTCTTCCCGAGCAAATATCTCCTAACATTGAAGTATACAGCACAGATTAAGCTCTTACCTTTAACAGTAGAATAGTCTTGGTAAGGTGCTGGAACGTATTCTTGTACTGTAGGTATTTCTGGTGTGTAATAATAGTAACAAGAATCTATAGGCATAAAGTAGTTTCCAGGTACCACAAGTTCCGGATTGTAGGTGACATAAGATGTTGGATACCAGAAACCTGATGAAAAGAAATAACAATTGCATAAATAAAGAAGTAAAATTATGTTATATGCAATATAACAAAGAGCCGTGATTTATCTGCATGCTTCAGATTTCCTCCTTAATCTATATGCCATGTGTTTAAGCAATTTATTTATCTAATATATATATATATATATATAGTATATATATATATAAGGTTAGTAGAAATTGTAACAACCCAAATCAAATATCGCATCAGTCCAAACATTAGATGACTCTGCACTTTTTAACGTGTTTACAAAAAAAAAAAAAAAAGTCTCAGTATACAAGACGGACTTTTAATATGATGAGCTTGATATTAAAGCTGTTCCGTAGTTAAATAGATGATGAAATAATCTAGACACCATACTGTAAAGAAAAATAATATATATATATATAATATATATGTATTTATGCTTCCTTTTAAACATTAAAGAATAAGTAACGAAATATCTTAATATATTTTTAAACGTTAGGCTTAAATATCTTATATATTTTAAACGATATAAGTCGGGTATGAATTTTAGGAAGGCATTTTAGGGAAGAAACATCGTCCAATATTCAGGCCAAACAGTGACTGCTTTTCAAAATATCAGTAACAAATAAACTAGGGCAAATTAATAAAATTATGAAATAGAAAAGTAGAATACTAAAATACTTATACACACAACTAAAATCACATGAAGAATAGTAATAACATAAAATACGCTTTTAAAGATAAGGTTCATATGTAAGTTGAAGGATAAAATTTCCAGAATTTAATGTTACACGTTAAGTATTTTACGAAATAAATTAATGTTCTCTGTAAGCAAAGATTTACGAATCTTTATTAGCTTGTGAGATACATAAAAATCGTTTGCACCATATTAAAAACTGTAGTAATATTCAACTGTCTCCACGAAGTATCTGCAGATTATGGAAGAGATCATTTGCACTGTACAAAAAATGTGTCTGAAAACATTTCCTAACTCTACATTGTATATTGAAAGACAATAGGTCCAAGATATAATATATGCTGAAGTATTAGACTATTTTACAGCATTTAAATATTTTTGTCTTAGCAGTTGCGAATATATCCCTTGTCATCGGCAAAGAAGAGCATTTATAATTAGTGGGGAATTTAACTAACTTTTTCCATAGTAAGATGCTATTTGTAAAGTATTTTTAAATACTTTATTTTTCTGATGAGAGGAAGTCAAAATGGAAGCAGATAAATATATTTTAAAATAATTCCATAAGTAATAGTAGGAACGCGATCAATAAGCTCCATAACTAATTTCAAGTTAGCGTGACACCCTGAAAACTTATTTCGTGTCATCCTAGAGCCATATTTATCTGGTTATTAACTGCAAGTATAAAAATTGTCTCAAAGCCAGAGGCAATTTTGACATTTCAGACTTTAATGTAATCACCAAATATCATACATGCAAGCAAAAATAACTGGCTTTATAAAAGAGAAATTTTAGTAAGGATACTCATTATTTGTAGGATACATGTTTTCTGTACCAAATATTCACTCTTACGCCTAGACTGAAAATAACTTGTTTCATTAGATGATGAGAATTTACTTCTAAAATCCAATGCAATTACACAAAATTGTACACAAACAGATAAACAGAAACGGTCAAAAAATGCGTAAGCCAAACCACAAAGTATCCCAAAAGGAACTAAACATGTTTTTTACATAGGAAATGGTGTCCGAAGATCAAATCGTGCGGTGCTACAGCAACGTAATCGACAAGCAAAGAAAGGGAGTCGGTAGCGGCGTTAACATAACTTCCTTTACCGACTACTGTTTTTTCTATGCTTACTTACTTTTTCTGTTCTACTTACTTTATTACCGACTACTTTCTGTGCTCCAAATGTTTAAATTGTGCTTCAAACTCCGTTACATTCGCTTCATACTATATGATTTATAAGTTTAGCCACAGCAGTATATTTTCGGTCTAAATAGCGGACTTTCAAATTTTCGATATTTTCTGAGCATTTTCTAAATTAAGCGATTTTCAGAAGACAAAATTCTAAAGCTATGAACTTGTGACAAAACTTTCAGGGTTCTCGATCTCTAATCGGTTTTAGAAAATTCCATATTCTTAACTGGGTAAAGTCCAGTTCATACCTCCATTTATAGTAGATGGGGATTCATAATTCCATCGTGGCTTTTTAAGTTTATGCCTTTATGTTCACCGTGGCTTTATGTTAAGTACAACTATAACAAATACAGCAGAAATGTGCATAGCAGTAGGTAAAGGAGTGCATTTTAGAATTTGCTAAAAATCAATCGTTGTGATAGTAAAACGGATATTTCTTACAAAATATCATCCAAAAGCATCTACTGGCAGGGCAATTAGTGTGTGGTGCAAAAACTTTTAAAAGATTGGCTACCTATGCGATGCTAAACAAACAAGCTGGTCGAGACCTACGGCTGTCGCGTCACCAGGATTATATATTTTGAACACCTGTAAGGTATATAAAAACTCTATGAGATTTTTTTTCGTGTACTGATCTACTCCTTTTTTACTCTACATGCTATAGTCATTTTATCAGAAACTTTTGGAATCTTGGACATAATTATGGATATCTCTATCCTATAACTCAACATTCAGAGAGTGATACGTCAAAATAACCATGACAAAATAGACTAAATACATCTGTAAATGTTTTATTTCTAGTTTCAGTTCTAAAAACATTTTATTGGAATATCGACTTTTTAGATCATTCGACAAAGTTCACATACAGATTTAGTCTCTAAAAATAAATAAAAAAACTTTATATTTAAACATTTTTTATCAAAAAAGACATTTAAATCATTTAAATCTTTTTTATCAAAAAAAGACATTTAAAAACAAGACATATAAAACCAGTAAAAACAATAAAATCAGTCCTTACTGACACTCATATTTCAAGAACATTGCTATACTTAGATACATTTTTGCTCAATACATGTAAATCTTCTTTAATTATATAACAATTATAATTTAGAATACAGGCTATAAGACATCAAAATTTTGTATATCGCAATAACCAGTATGCAGAAATTAGTATTAACTACGGTACCCTGCTTGATAAATTTTTATGAAATATTTTTAATAAGATTCGCCTGCCAGCTTGTAAGGATCTTAAGTTTTACTAACGTTTATTTTATTTTAAATCTTTACTATCACTTCTTATTTTCTACTTCCGGCCAGAATTATAAGCGTTAACGTATTTATGCAAAGTTTGTCTGGCGAACGCCAAGTACTTAAGTTGTGGTTTTTTGCCAAGCGAGAGAGAGGAAGCAGTTAGTCGAAGCAGACCGCTTACCTTAGAAGTTTTACTCAGTTGCTGGTTGCCTTCCAGGCCAGAGGTTTAATCCTCTTGATAATTTTAAACGTATTGTAGTGTTCACAGTTCTCTGTACTACATACGGCTTCCTGTTAATATAAGGCCAATCTTCCACGTTTATTATTTTAAAGTTAAAGTTAGAGTTTAGTTTATTTTTATATTTTTTACGTTCAGACCACAAGTAGTTGGTCTCTGTATTCCGAAGTACGGAAATTATTGTAAATAGAGAAAAAATAAAGGGTTTTGTATACCCTTCTTGTGTATCCTGTCTACTTCCCACAGTTATTGAACATAGCTTTAGTAAGCTCTCTGTTCCGAGTCAGGTCCTTGCATGTTCCCGAAGAAGGTAAGAAGGAACATTGAACCTGATAGTGGCGCCCAACGAAGAAGAATAACCATGGCCGAGTTTCAAGAAGAACCTGTGCTGCCTGCAGAAGAAACGGCTCAGAATCCAGAAATGCAGCAGCTGCCGCCCTGGAAGGATTTGGTTACATCGTCCAGACCATGCGCGCATCGATGAAACCAGAAGCAACATTTAATGGAAACTCACCGGTAACCAGTTTTTTGGAAAAATTGGATGACCACTTCATGCTCTATCCCGTGCACGAGTTTCAAAAAGTTACCTTAGCTACCAGCGCTTTGAGGGGCCAAGCGCTTAATTGGTTCAAATGTATAGGCAGAAGTCTCTTGGGTCAAGCAGGAAGTCCCACCTATACTTACGAAAATTTCAAGACTGCCCTAGTAAAAGCCTTCCCTGTCGTAAGGGATCGTGCGAAATTAGAAACGGAACTTTTCAGCATATATCAGCAAAGAATCGAAAATCTCTCAAGCTTTATTTTAAGAAAAATTCACGTCTTCAAACTCTTGTATGGAAACCGTCCGGATCCTGAGATAATTCAAGTGATTTTGCCGAGGTTACTGCCCCAAGTGCAAGACTTTATTGAATTAAGAAATCCGACTACACTGGAAAAGTTATTTGAGCTAGCAATCCAGTTTGAAAGTAGAAGAACGGCGGACATTGAAAGAAGACGCCAATATCAACAGCGAAACCAATTTGGTGCGCCAAGACCTACAGCAAACTCAAGCACACGGCTACGGAAGCAAAGCGAATCAGTGGGCAAGGAAACCCGAGCATTCAAAAACAGCCGGCGAACGTCGACAGTTCAATAGCAATCCAGGGAAAAAAGTCTCAAGGCCAGTGGAAAAAAGAAGGAAAGCACGGAAATGAAAAAATAATTTAAACTAAAACGGATTTCTGCTGACGGGAGGGTGCGGAAATCCGAAGGCCAAGAAAACCCCTCTTCCTTCAAGTTAAATACAGTAATGGTGAAAAATTTGACTCTTCCGAAGATTGAAGTGTTGGTGAATAATATCCCAGCCACCGCACTCCTGGATACAGGCGCGCAGTGTTCCTGTGTGGCAGAAGATTTTTTTAGGAAGTATTTTCGGAAATACCGCATATATAATTCGGATAATACGACAGTGTTAGCTGCGCAGAGGAGAAAGATGTAAGTGCATAGGTAAATTACCGCTGTATGTCCGTATCAAGGACGAACAAGTAAAGGTTTGTTTTTTTTATAGTAAAGAATCTGCAAGCACATATTATCTTAGGAATAGATTTTCTTTCAGAGGCACAAGCAACGCTGGATTTTAATGAAGCGTCCCTTAAGCTGA